TGTAAAGTGATATTTTATATGTTATTGTTGTAAACTTTTGTAGTTCTTTATTTAATAACATAGTAAGAATATTTTAGAAGTATTAGAAGAGTTAAAAATATTTACAATCTTTAGAAAAGGACCTATTTATAGTACATAAAGAAAACAATATTGTTTAGTAAGACTTATGTATAATAACAAATTAATAAACTAAATTATTCATAATTGTTTAAATTAATTCAAAAATTTTTTTATGTTATCAAAAAGTGATTTCATCATATTTTACTAAATCAAATTTAACCATACTCAAAAATATATAACTAATTCCTAATATTAATTTAAATAAAAAATGACAATTTTAAATAATTTTAAACTACTTTTTATATAACAAAAACCTTACTCTAATTTATTAAAAGTTTTGTTTTAATTTAGTCTGTTTAAAAATAAAAAACAAATACATTGTTACAATTTATTCATTATATACAAATTAAATTAATTATTTACCATAAACTTAAATAAACAAATGAAAGACTAAAAACTTAATTAGACTTAAGCAAAACATTTGAGGAAAGCGTAAATCACACCTCCAATCCAGCAACAAATAAGCCACAATAATAAGCAAATAATGAAGTCAAGTCCAATTTCTTTAGTTTTCCACCAAATAGCTAATGGTGGAATGAAGATACAAAGAATGATAATGATAATATCGTCGTCTCCCATAACTTATGCTGATTGAATATTTGGTGATCTCTGATACTTTATTAGTAACATGCCACGTCATTTTCTAATTTAAGTTCAAAGTAACTAATTTGCCACACCTTAAAAAAACTAAAATTAACATCTTCTTGATTTTTAGTTTTTAACTCTTTCTTCTTTTTCTCTTTTCAAAAAAAACATTCAAAAAATTCTTACAAGAACTAACATTAATAAAAAAAATCATCTACTAATGGAACGGGACTTGGAAATAAGTAAAAGCAAGTGGAATAGGAGAACCTGATATCTTATTTGTAGAATAATAGAAACAACACCAAAGACTTGGTTTGTTACTAATGGCTTCAGGTAATTTAATATGAAATAAAATAACACCATTTTCTAAAGGGTATTGATATAACTTGTCATTTGTTTGTTCAGAGTATTGTTTTAATTTAGGAGACGGTTGTTGTGTAAGTACTATAGTATCTCCTTTATGTGAACGTTCATTCAATTTTATGAAAAGAGAATTATAATTAACAACTTTTAAATGAAGCTGTTGAAATGAAAATTGAATTTTTGTTGATTTTACAATTTCTGTTCCTGTTTTTAAATGAATTTGATAATACCCTTTGTGTTGAAGCTCAAATGAAGACCTTGTTTTTCCTTCAGATAAACAACTGAATGTAGGATAATTTTGAATAACATCTTTTTGGTCGTAAGGAGTCAAAGAAATATACAGCTTACCAGCGTATTGAGGTAAAACATTAACTGAGAACTCAACTACATTTCCTTTCATATTAATTTCAAATGGGGTTTGCTCAGCAATGTACTTCAGTTCAAGAAAGTTAATTTCATTATCAAGTTGAGTTATTTCGTCTTTACCATTAATTTCAGATGATTCAAAATAAGTTGATAATAAACTATCCATTAATGATGTTTTAAATCTTTATTATGAAATAAAGTTCTTTCTAAAACCATAAAAAAATTTCAAATTAAAAGTGCAAAATATACTTTTTATTTTCAAATACCATATGAACTACAAATAGAAATATCTAAAAATTATTTCTATTTAACTTTATAACACAAAAAAATAACTTTGTTCATTCTAAAATTCTTTGAATAATTAATTAAAACTACTTTACTAACTAGCATTTTTATGGTTAAGTACTTTTTCTATAAAACCAGAAGTTCTTGTTAATATAACCGATACTAAATCATAAATGACTTGAGCTAATATAAACTTACAGTTATGAGAATTTAATAAAATGACAAAAAACAAAGACTATAACCATATAATAAAAATTTCTATATCAACAAATTAACTCGAATGGTATATTACCTTATCTGTTTGTTTTAACATTATACCAGAACAGTAGTATTTTACTAACTTATTAAAGTTGTTCATTATAAATCAAAAATACTATTCATTCTAAAAAGAGTTTTATTAATACAATTAAAGTGTATTTAAAAAGTTTTGAACTTTATTTCGATATAATAATTAGTTTAAGTGTATTTTTCTTATTTTGCTAGATGAAATTACATTTTGTTAATTATCTCTTTTCGACTGTTGTTTATGGATAGATCTTTCTCTTATTTATTTGAGTATTCTGCATTATCTCATAATGTTTTTTATTTTTATGATTATCTTTTACTAGTACTTTTCATATATTACAACTTTTTATTTTAATTTCTTCTCTTGTTTCTTTATTGCATTTCTTGTACTTGTTTTCATTGTTAGATTGTGATTATTCTTTGACTTCAGTTATTAGACTGTTATTTCTATCTTTTAAATTTAACATATTTTATTTTTTTTTAATTAAATTGATGATAAAATTTATGATAAAGAAAATTGTATTTATTATGGTATTTTATTATTTATTAATATATATTTTATTTTTTCCAATTTTTGTTTATTTTTAAGATCTATATTGGATTATTCTATTTTTATTTTTAATTCATTTAAAATTTTTTTATTATTAATATTTTTGTTACTTATTTTAAAATTTAATGAATTTGATTTTATTCATTTTTAAATGAGAGTAAATAATGGAGATACAAAAAGAGTCACTAAATTGAGAAAACAATTAAAAGCAGTACAAATAATTTTGAATACCATTATAACGGTACAATAAACTAAGTCTTAAATCATGACATTTCAATTATTAACTAAATACCATTATTAGGTACTGATAATATCAACCTACTCAATCCAAAAATGAATAAGCATGTTAATACCAATGAAACGAAAAGAAGTAGAGACTAATGGGTCATGACTTTATTGTTTTAATCAACATATTTATATGACTAAACTGATATATCAAAATGAACATGAAACAATAAATAATAATTTAATCATTTTAAAGTAGATTTTTTCAAAGAATAACCAAAAAAAAGCTATATATTTATTATTATTTTTACTATAATTATTCTCTATTCTATTGATTTTGTTTAAGAGATAAATTTAGTGATTTAATACTATTTATCTAGTAAAATAAACTTAAAATTATTATATTGCAGTAAGAAAGTTAGAAACTGAAAAATTTTTATTAAACATCATTTCTTTATAAAAGAGATTTAACCAAATCTTAAAATAAAAATTCAAATGTCAATTAACACACAAAATAACACCGACGAACCTGTAAACAAAGATTTTAGTTATTTATCTGGGTTGATTAGAATTCTTGCAGATAGATATCCCTCTTTTCTTCCAAAATTTATTGAATCATCAGAAACAATCTACGAAAACGAAATTACAAAAGACTGGTTTTATATTAATTTTCAAAAGCGTCTCAATAGTCTCAACAGTGATACTAAAAAGAAGTTAAAAGATAAATTAGTTCATTTGTTTAAAATACAGGCAATGTTATCTGATTTAAATTCATCACTGACAGATGTTTCAATTGATGTTGGTGTGTCTTTAAAAGAGCACTACAACAACGCCTTGAAAGTAATTAAAATTTCAGGTGTATCAAAAGAAGATCATTTCATCAAAATTCCTGTTGGATATGGTTGTCCTAAGCACATATCCATCGGGTCAACTAGTATTAAGATTCGCATTCATGTAAATTGCCCAGATGATTGGAAGCTTAATGGTTTGGATATTATTCATTACGTTTCAGATGATGAACTTCAAAACAGATCTTTTGTTTTCTTGTCTGGAAAAACACTTTCCCTTTCAAAATTCAACAAAGAAATGACAATATCCGGTTATGGGCTTCGTTCAAAAGAACGCATTGGAAACTTAGTTTTAAAAACCAGAAACACAGAACCTCATTATCCTATAAGTCATAAAGTTCCAACTACAGCCAACTACAATACTGGAGAAAGTCAAAGAAAGGTGTCATCAGGTATTATACCCTCAAAAAATTCAATTAATGGTTTATATGAAGCGCAATCGTATGGAACACAACAGGGTAATACCGCACAAGAAAGAGATCAAAATAGTGAAAGTAACAACTATGATAGTCTCACCTTCAAAATAAGTAGTTCTAATGAACCAATTGAGATAAAGAACATAACTTATTATCCATTCATCTTAAACAATCCAAGCTCCTCTGAAAGAGATATTGTACTAAGGGTAAATATTCATACAGACTATATGAACGAAATAAATGAAAAAGAAACTTTTGAACCCAAAGGGGTTTTTAGCACCGACATGAAAGAAGATATTATTCTTTGCAACGTTCTTTTTGGTAATGCTTTTAAGACAATAGAAGAATTGAATAAATTCATAGATGACATGCAAACCAAATTCAACCTAAAATATTTTGATTGTTATGAACTCAACCTTAATGAAAATTATGTAGTTTTAGACCACTACCTTTATAAAACACTATATGGATTTATCCCTCTAATCTATCCTATTCCAAAGAATTATCGAAACACTGACGATTACAAAAACTGGTTTTTTGTGTTCTTTAATTACCTCCATCCATCTAACGAAATCTCTGCAGTTATTATACATAAAAAGGAGAAAAATACTCAGATTAGATAAAAGAGAGAATTCCTTCTTAAATTCAGTTAGTAATTTTTGTTTTTGGGTGTTTGTCATAAATAATTATCAGAAAAGAGATTATGTAAAAATCGCAAAGAAACATAACATAGATATAATTTTATTTAGAGTTGTAATAAACTTATGTTTTTTTGTTATTTTATTATAATGAGAAAGTTATTTTTCAAACCAAATCTGAACTTTGATTAAAACATTTTCTTATATGTTATGTTATTATAAGTGCAATAGATTTTTGAATAAAAGATGATAGTTGAATTTTATAAAGATGCACAACTATCATTTTACAGAGAGAAGGTAATTTTGTTAGCCCATATAATAGAAATTAACAACACTCATTTTCAAAAGAAGCATAACAAGAAAAGAAAAAAAGTCTTATGAAAAATAGTTAAAATTATCAATGGATAAACACAAGAAATAATGTAATTTATAGAAATAATAAAATGTTCTGAGATTTTCAAAATATAAGAATGGCTTGAAAATGTTTGAGAATCATAAAATAATTAAATTAAGTGAATCTTTTTCTATTTAATAGAATATTAGAAAGTTGATAATACTTAAGAAAACATTATTTTGTTGATATCGAAACTAAACTCTAATGAATAAGAGGAAATTTAAAAATTTTTAATCTATAAAAGTGAAGAGAACTATAATTATGATATGATTATAATAAAATTCTGATTTTAATATTGAAATGTATAATATTAATAAATATATTAAAATGATTTTAAATTTAATAAAAAAAATGAAAGATTTTTAGAACAAAATTTTCATTTGTTTATTAAAGGCATCATTCAAACATTTTTTATTGATTTCTCCAACAAGACGACCATTACTAGTAACAAAAGCAGATTCTACTTGGGCGGCAATAAAAAGCATATGGACTTCACTTAAAGGAGTATGTCTTAATAATAACAAAGGACATTCTTTATAATTAAGTAAAAATTTACCATTAAGTTTATTAGAAAGTTGAGAGTCTAATACCTTTCTAATAGAACTTAACTTTATTTGTCCTAAAAGGATTCCTCCTTCTTTACTGTTAATAACAGGAATAATCTTTTCTTTTAAGGTATTATAATGTTCTGTAATATCTTTCAAATCTTCAATTGTAGTAAATTCTGAAACAGGAAACATATTTTCATCCATTACCATTTCTGCCGTTTGATGAATTGAATATTGAATATCAGGAATAAACGGTAATTTCTTTGATATGGCAATTTTATCATAAATACCTTCTGTGAAAAATCGTGATAATGAAATTGTTACAACAGTGGCAAGAAGAATAGGAAGTAATAATTGATTATTATCAATAGACTCTAATATAACTACTGTTGCACTAAATGTCTGTGTAATTGATGCCACAAAACAAGCTCCTCCTATAATAGCAATTCCTCCAGGACCTAAATTATTATAAATTCCTAGTTCATTAATGATTTCTCCAATTAAACGACCGAGAACTGCACCTACAACTACATTAGTAGAGAAAAGACCAACTGGTACTGGCAATGAAATTGAGAATGCAGTGATAGTAAACCGAGCAACAAAATATACTGCTAAAACAGTGATATAATGAGGACCAAAGACTGGTTCAATTGATGTATTTCCAAATAAATATCCTAATGTCACATTAACTGAATAACCAAAGCCATTGTATTTATTTTTCCATGGAGCAGTAACAACACCAGTAAGAGTAGCAAATATAATAAAGTATAAGTATGGAATTCTTCCTAAATAAAATTTACGTAAATATGCACGTGTTACAAAAACAGTTCCTGTTGCATTAGTAAATAAAATAGCAAATACTCCACAAATAATACCAATAATAAGAGCAATAACTGCTTCTTTTATTCCTGGTGGTTCAAATGTATATGAAATTGCCATTACACCAGTAAATAATCCATCTCTTCCTTTATAAATGTTTGTTACAGCTCTAAATGTAAAAGCTGATATAACTGATGTGAAAATAGCAAACCAATAATTTCTAACAGGATAATAAGTTGCAGTAACTTCAACTGAGAATAATAACCCTCCAATAGGACATCCAAAAGTAGAAGCAACACCACAACCAGAAGCAATTGCTAACATATGAACAAATAATTCTTTATTTTCTCTAATAAAATGGAAAAAAGGGAGATGTGCCAATTGTGCAGCAATACAAGAACAAATATGAATTGAAGGTCCAACTTTTCTATTCTAAATAAGTATATTGTTTTTTATAAACATAAATTTTCTTTTTAATAAGTACTAGCAAAAATAAAATAACAAACCCACACCATAACCCACTTCCAATAGCAAAAATTAACCCAATTACTTTAGCTATTAATGTTCTCATAGTTAAAAAATTGGGAAAATGATTTCCTAATAAAGTTACTTTCATTTCTGGGACTCCAGATCCATTAGCTGTTGGTGAAACATATTTTGTAAATAAAAATGCACAAGTTCCACCAAATATTGTAAAAAGAATCCAGACAATAATTTTATAATATGAAGCATCAAATAATAGTAATAACCAATTCTTTAATTTGGAAATTTGATCAATACAAATATCCATAGTAGTTCCAGTTAATCCTCCAAGAAGACCAAGCATAAACAAATAAAGTGCAACAACATGAATCAAAGTTCCTTTAAATCCGAATACTTGGAACAAACAAATTTTTTTAATTTTTGCCATTGTTCCTTCATTTTGTACAACTTGTTTTTTTGGTTCTCTTGAGATTCTGACTAAAGAAGATTCAGAGTTATCACCCTAAAAAGATTAAAACTTATTTAATTTCAATCACTTATTCATAACATAAACAAACATCAATTTCATAAAACTCTTCTGGTGCTGGTGATTCTTCAGTAACAAGTTTTTCTAATTCTGTTTCTTTCTCTTCATCTGCTGAAGGAGTATAAGAAATAGAGGGTAAATTTTGTTCCATTCGGAATATATTTACATTTACTAGTTCTATTAATGAAAAACCAAAAAAAATTATTAGGTTCCTTAATTTAGCATAATATCTTCAACTTAATACACCTGTACTACTTAATTAAAAAATTTATAATCTATTTAAAGTTATCTTTTAAAAATCAGTCTTAGTCATAGTTAACTTTAAACTCTGAACCATTTGGCTTATTCGGTTTTTAGCATCCTTTTTTTTTTTCGTCATTGAAATAAAAATAAAACATTTTATTTGTTTTTCATTTTTTGATTTATAAAATAAATTTTATACTAACTTTTCTTTGGTAATTCAGGAAATACTGAAACATAATAAAAAGAATTTCTTGTATAAGCATAAGAGTAAAATATAGTAATAATAATATTTTAATTGTGTATAAATTTAAAAGAAATAACCTTCTCTTATTATTTTCTTTTGGAAGTACTCTGTATTGTGTTTAGTAAATTATTATGAAGGAAGGATATATAAGAGATAACTGTTTTGCATTTTAAATTTTGATAATAAATACATTTCTTAAAAATTCAAAAAAAATGTTTTTGTGTTCAAATTCAATAGAATAATTATTATCATAAAAGAAGTTTTATTAAATAAGAATATATTATTATGTTATTTGTTAAGGAACAAACAATAAATAAAATAAGTTAAATGAGAATTTTAATGAGAAGTGAATGGAATATAAAGAAAAAAAAGTAATGAACAGATGGGAATTCAAATAAAATGAAAAACCTAAAAAAAAAACTAAAAAAAGGAGGATGTCAAGTATTTATCCAATTAATAATGATTTAAATAATACAATTCCTCTTTTATCACAAAACCAAAATAGTCTTTTATCATCATTACCAAAAAAACCATTACATGATCTGTATATTCAACAATACCCAGTTATTACAAATTACTTTGAAATTCATTTTAGTAAAATTCATTTTGTTAGTTATAAAGCTAAGTTTATTCCAAATACTCTTAACTCATCACTTAAAAGAGCACTTTTAATTGCACATTTTAATTCAATTGGATTACATAAAATTATAACTGATGGTTGTACGGTTTCATTACCAGAAACAATTATTGAAGAACATTGTCATTTTTCAATTCATTCAAAGAACAATATTGTGTATATAGTTGATTTAACACCAATTCATAGCAATGTATTTACAACTCAAAAAGCTAATATTTTATTAAAATCAATATTTGTAGAAGATACTAATTTTATTGTGTCTTTCAAAAAAAGTTTTTATGATACTTCCAAAACAATTGAATTAAATACTTCTGATGGGAAATTAAAAATATTAAATGGATTTTCATCAACTTTACGTATATTTGGAAATAAAACATTTCTCGTTGTAAATTCATCTTATAAAATATTTCAAACAAAAACATTTTTACAATTTATGGAAAATAAAAGTGTTGAACAAATCAAATTTGAATTTAAACCAATATCTTTATTTAATTCATTAACAAAAAAATTAGTAAAAATTGATTCTATTGATTTTTCTAAAACACCACTGCATACTTTTAAATTGAAAGATGGAAAAGAAATATCATTTATAGATTATTATCAATTAAAATATGGAGTAATTATTAAAAATATAGAACAACCTTTACTTGTACAAAATAATCCTTTCTTTAAAGAAAATAATAAGTTAAATGAATTTAGTTATTTTATTCCAGAATTTATGTATATGACTGGACTTTCTTCAAAAATGAAATCAGACAAAAAATTATTATCTGAACTTGAAAATATTTTTTATAAACCCCCAAATATTAAATTAGAAAATATCCAAAGTCTTGTTTTACAATATATTTGTAAACTTCCTAGTCTAAATTTGTGGAATATTACTATCAATCCTATTCCTTTGAAAATTATGGGATTCAGATTACAAAGACCTCAATTAATATTTAGAGATTCATTTCTACAATTACCAACATTAAAAGAATGGTCATATGACATTAGAAATAAATTATTATATAACCCTGTAACTATTACTAAATGGTGTGCTCTTGTCCCTACTCAATATCTTGATTATTTTATTCGTTTTGAACAAATTTTACATCAATTTCATACAAAAATACATATTGAATATACATCACCAAAAATTATTAAAATGATTGGTCTTTCACTTGATGATTATTTTAATGAAATTTTGAATTATAAAATTGTATTCGTTGTTCTTTTAAACGATTCATTATATGAAGACATTAAACGAAAATGTTTTGATAGGGAAATTATTACTCAATGTATTCTTCCAGATACTTTAAAAAAACAAAATTTATTTCCAATTGTAAGTCAAATAACTTATCAAATTCAATCAAAGTTAGGAGGTATTCCATGGGACGTTCTAACTAATAATAAACTTTTTAAAACTATGATTATTGGTATTTCTGTAATACCATATGATGATAATAAAGAATGTATTTCACTTGTTTCATCTATGAAATCTAATTCATTGGCCACAAGAAAAAAATATTCAACTATTGAAAAAAAAGGGTGTGGGAATGAAGGATATAATAGTCAAATATTAATTCAAAAAGCATTAGATGATTGGTACAAAGAAAATTTAGAATACCCTTCTAATATTATTATTTATAGAAAGGCAAATAAAACTTCATTATTAAAAATTAAAGAAGGAGAATTAAGTCTTTTAAAACAAGTCATTAGTTCAAAAGGTATTCCTATCAAACTTCTCTATTTTATTGTGTCAAGTAGAAATGATATTAAAATATTTAGTCAAAATTATCAAAGTTATTTTAATCCTCAACCTGGAACTATTATTTGTGACACTATCTTTGAACATGATAACTTTGAATTTTATTTAATAAGTCATATACCAATGAAAGGAGTTGTTCGTCCTGTTCTTTACACTTCACTTTATAATTCAACTGAATTTACTCAACAACAAATATATCAAATTACATTTGATTTATGTCATTTACATTATTCAATATTATCTTCTATTTATATACCTGCTCATTTATTCGAAGCAAATGAATTAAGTCATGTCTTAAATAAATGTGGCTATACTAAAACTACTTTTACTGAAAAATTTAAAAATAAAAGAAACCAATTAAGAAGACAACTTTTTGATACACAAAGAGAACAAGACTATGACAAATCTTCATTTGACCAAAAAAAATTAAAGCTAATGAATACAAGATATGAAAAAACCTCTGAAAAAATTCTAGATTCATCTAATACCTCTTCAAAAACTATTCTTCTTCAAGTGTCTGAAGATTTAAAAAGTCAAATAACACAAAAAAAACCTCGTCTTTCTAAAACCCTTTTAGAAAAAGAAGTAAAAAAAAATAACACTACTACTCACAAAAAGACAAAAAATAAAAGGACTTTTTCATTAGAAGAAATTAACACAGTCAGAAAAGGTACTCCTATTTCAAAACCAGAAGATCATTCTGATCTTAGTTTTAGTTATGGGGTTATTACAGATGAATCGCTTACTAACACCGATTATTATGATATTAGTTCACATCCTTATTATTAATATATGTTTTATATATCATATTTAAACTTTCATATAAAAGAACTATAAAGAAACTGAATAATAGAAACTCTTCATACCTTCAAAAACTATAAACTCAAAAAAATTTTATAAAAAAAGAAAAAAAGAAGAATAGTAAAACATAATAAAATTAATAATAAAAACTAATAAGATTAAATAATAGAGGAGAAAAGAATAAAATAGATGACACGTAATAAACTCAATTAAAAGCAAAAAAGAAAAAGAACTAATAAGTTCAGAATGGTTGAAGTAGAAATTGTTGAAAAAGAGAAATTCCAAGAAATTATGTCTAAAATTCGTAATGAAAATGAAAAGACTAATTGGATTTGTTTAACTTATGAAGGACCAAAGAGTAAAAAACTTGTTATTGCTGGTTCTGGTGAAGGAGGAGTTGATGAATTAAAAACACTTTTCAAAGATACTGGAATTTATTTTGCATTTGCTAGAGATTTTGATAAAATTGATGATTCTATTTGTGTTAAATTTGCTTTCATTGAATTCATTGGTGATAAGTCTCCAAGACTTCAAAAGGCTGGTGTTGGAATGCAACTTAGTTCAATTCAAGATCAATTTGGACAATTCCATATTACTCATATGTGTTCAGATCTTGAAGATGTTTCTGCAGAAATTATTTTAGCTAAGATGAAGAATGCTTCAGGATCAGCTTCACACGTTCTTTAAACGATTTGAATTCATTTATTTTAAATAAAATTTTAGTTTATTTTAATTAGTAAATAATTATTTTTTATTAATTAAATTATTTTTATTTTTTTATTAAATCTAATAACAAAAAAATATTAACAACAAAAAACCAATAAAAAGATTACTCAGCAACGAGTTATGCAACGCTTAGAAGAGATCACCAAATCCACCGAAGTCTTCCTCTTCTTCTTCTTCTTTTTTCTCTTCTTTCTTTTCTTCAGCTTTGGTTTCAGTTTGAGCAGCAGCACCAGCAGCTGGAGCAGCAGCGGCAACAGCCATTGATCCCATTTGTTTCTTTCCAGCTTCAATTACTTCCCAAACATTCTTTCCGTTCATAGCATCGAAAACTTGTTTGATTTTAGCTTCATCGATTTCAGCACCAGCAGCAGTAAGGATTTCCTTGACTTTAGCTTCTTCAGCGTGTTCATGTCCAATAGTGCAAAGAATATAAGCAGCGATGTATTGCATGTTCGTGCTAAGTTATTTGTTGAAAAGGGTTTCCTTTAACAGATAACGAGGGTTATTCTCTTCTTTTTCATTTTTATTATTTCTCTTAGTTAATTTATTATTAATTATAATTAATTATATTTAGTTTCTTTCTTTGTTAAAAATGATTTAAATAACAAAAGTCTGAAAAATTAGATGTGTTATTACTCAGCACGATATACTGGTACGGGTCTTGTTGGTGGGACATGAGCAGCTGGAAGTCCAGATGGATCTTCTTCATCTCCGTTATCGTCCCAGTCAATAATAATACCAGCTGCTTTTTGTTTGTCAATTTCTTCTTGAGTAACAGTAACAGGTTGTTCAACTGGAACAACTCCCTCGGTAACACTTGGTTGAGCAATTCCTTTAAACCATGGGTGGGATAGTGCTTGTTCTGCATTCATTCTCAAACGAGGATCTGGATACAAACACCGAATAACAAAATCACGAGCCTCATTAGAAATATGTTTCCAATCATCAGAATCAAAAACAACTTCACCACTTTGCATTTGTTCAACATTTTCAGCAATTGTATCTCCATCAAATGGAAGGTATCCACAAAGACACACATATAACATTACTCCAACTGACCACATATCAACTTGGTATGAATATTCTGTAGCACCCATTAAAATTTCTGGTGCTGCATAGTCTTGAGTTCCACAAGGAGTTTTCAATGGTTCATTTTGGAAACACTTAGCAAATCCAAAATCTCCTAATCTACAAGTTAGCCCAGTATCACCAACCATTAATATATTTTCTGGTTTGATATCTCTATGTGCAATACAATGAGAATGCAAATAATACAAAGCAGAAACAACTTGATAAATAACCCATCTTGCTTCTACCTCAGGAATTCCTGACTCACATTTACTAACACGAGAAAACAAAGTTCCTCCTGGTAAAAGTTCCATAACAATAGAAATATTAATATCACTTTCAAAAACATCAAAAACTTTCATAATAGCAACGTGTTGTGCAGCTCTTGCAATTTCAATTTCACGAATTAATAATTTAGTTTCTTCAGGTTTAACTAATCTTTTATCAATCACTTTTACTGCACACAACTCTCCAGTTGGAATGGCACGTGCTTTTCTAACTACTGCAAATGCACCTCTTCCAAGTTCTTCTCCAAGTAAAAAGAAGTCTTCAATAATTCTATTTCTTCTTTCATCATCTTTTGGGAATAATAAATACTTTTTTTCTTCTTCAATGAAATCTTTTTTTTCTTTAAAGTTAGGTGGAAGTCTTTTATGAAGGTTCTTTTTCTTTGTTAACTCCATTTGTCTTTTCTTTTCTTTCTTTTTCATAACCATTTTAGCTTGTTTTCCTTTTAATCCACTAATTCCTTCAGTTACAATTTTTGATAACTTTGCACTCTTCTCTTTAAAGGCACTCGCAAATGTCTTCTTGAACGACTTCATCTTTGTAAAATAATAGTTCTTCTAAATCCGTTTCTGCTCCAAAACTACATTAATCTCATAATCATATATTTTTTTTAGATTTTGTGTAATTAAACTATAAGCCTATTTTTAGATAATATTTATGTTTTTTATAACTAAAAAATCTTTCAATTATTCTTCTGTTTCAAAACTTTTATGGTCTAAGATAAACTCTGAAACTAACGAAATACCCACTAGTATAACTAGAATAGTACTTTGTAATAAACGATACCATTGCTCCAATGGTATTATTTTTATTAGAAAAATAAATAATGGAAATCCTAGTCCTGAGACTAAGCTTTGAACTGAATAAAATATTGAGAATGCAGCATCACTCTCAAACTGAAAATATTTACCAAGTAAAGCATCTATTTGAGTATTAAACCCACCATCTGAAATTGCGATACAAATTATAGCAACAAATAAGAGTATTGGTATTGATGCTATATCTGTGAATAATGAGTAGAAGAAGAAACTAATTTAAGAACAAACGGTTCAAGAAGTAGTGAATATTGATAGCTATCAAACCAAGAACCATTACAAATCCAGAAATAACAAAGACAATAAACTTCCCAATCATATCACCTAGTTTTCCAAAAATTAATGAGGTAATCATATTTGTTGTTCCAAAAATACACATTGCAATAGAAACATATTCAACACCAAACATAGCTGTTACTTCTCCATAAATATAACATTGACTTAACCCTGAATAAATAAAGATAGGTAACATCAATAGTAACTTCTTTGAAACAATAACTTTTTTTAGACTTCTTAAATCTGTTTTCAAACTCACCTTTTCTATTTCTGGAAGTACATTCATTCTAATTTTTAAATTAACAGATATTATCCGAAAAGAAACAAACAAACTTAATGAAAAGAAATGGAATAATACCAATAAGACAAAGAGAAGAAAAAATAATAAATAGATATTTTAAATCAAGTCCAGATAGAGTCATAACATATGCAAATCCATTTCCAAGTGTTTGATTCAATTGGTAAACAAAAAAGAATATTCCAGAGTTTCTGCCTCTTTTTTCGGGTTTAGAGCATCTAGTTAACAAACTTCCTTGTGCACACCAAGTAATACTCTGTCCAAATCCTACAAAGAAACTAAATATAATCAATAGATAACTTTTTTGGAATATATTTATTAACAAAAATGGAATAATACAAAAACCTCCAACAATAAGACACCAACGTTCTCCAATTCTTCTGAGAATCAAAGGAACGATAAATCCACTAACTGCAAAAGAGAAATAAATAATTGATAAAGAAATCATTCCATAATTACCATATAAACTAGTCATAAAGTTTTCAGTTGTATTATATGAAACATAAATTATTAAAAATCCAATACCAAGCATTACAATATTGAACATTCTCCATTTCCAATTTTTTGGAGTATCCATAGAATTATTAATTAAATTTTGCTCTTCAGACATTCCCATATTATATAGATAAATAAAACCAATATTTAAGCGTTTAAATATCGGTGTTCTAAGGAATTAGATCCAACCCTTGTTCAGAACCCTAAAATCGTTACAAGAATATAATGATTGGATGATTAAATCTCAAAATACTACAAATCCCAAAACACAATGCCACGTGTTTTTTTTAACTAATAAATCTTAATAACGAGGATATAACTTAAATGAAGAAATATATAAAGCAAATAATTGAAAATAAATTTGTGTTATAAAAACATAAAAAAAAAACAATTATTAATATATCTATATTTGGAATATGTTATTAGTGAGAGAAGATTATTCAGTTTCTTCAATAATTCACTTCTACAATAAAGCTCATTTCTAACATCCTTGAATTTGAAGACAACACCTTAAATATACTATTGGAATTATTACAAAAACATAAAAAACAAAAAAAAATTGAAAATTAGCACTTATTAATTTGGCTACAAGCAGTTATAGGTGTAGCACCTTCTTCAAACACACGAGAACCAAGTTGTATTAAAGTTCTGTAACAAGAGGTTGGATATTTTGATTTACGGCAAAGATTATCCATTGATTTCATTACAACAATAGTACTAAAGCCATCATATTTTTTCTTCTTTAATGCAACACGAGCCAATTTAGTACACATCTCACATTGACTTTTTTGTTTAATTCCATCATCAACACCTTGAGTAACCTTCATTACTAAATCACTAAATTTACCCATTTGAATTTGAAGTTCATTAATAGCATCTGCAGTCTTTATAATTTCATTATTTGTATCATATAATTGATTTTTCTTTTCATTATCTTCTTCTCCATTGACAAGAGTTTGGTTTATTTCTTTTTCTAATTTATCTTTTAACACAATTAATTTGGCATGTTGGACTTGATGAGATTGAATAGTGGCTTCAGAAATTCCTCTAATAACACCAGCAGTTCTAAGTAATGATGATGATGCTTTTCTTAAAACAAATTCTTCTTTTTGTTTTTTAATAGTCATTAAATTAATACTTGTTTTTAGTTCATCTCTCTTTGTTTCAATTTTTTCTTTCATATCTCCATTACTGACAATATTTCCTAACTCTCTCATAACTTTTTGTGCTTGGGATATTCTTTCTTTAAGAGTATTGATATGTCGTTTTAATAAAACGATTTTCTTAATTCTTTTAAGTCCACCTCTCAAAACTTTATTTAATCTGGAAATTCCAACCTTTCTCTTTTTTTCTAAGGCAATTTGATGATTCTTATTAGCTCTAATTTTCATTCTTTCAATTTTCATCTTTAACATTGCTTTAATGTCATTAACTTTTCCTCCTTTTCTACCATTTAATACTTGTAATTTATTTTGAACAACATGAATTCTCTTTTTCAAATTTCTTTCTCTGATTTTAGCTTCTTCCTCTCTAATTTTATTAATTTCTTTAACTTCAGCTTCCATAGAATTAGCTTGTTGTTCTGCTTTTTTCAAAAGAGTTTTAACTTGTTTTAGCTCAACTTTATATTCTTTTTCTAATCTATCAATTTGAGGAATTAATTTAATTAATTTTTCTGAACTATTATATTTTTTCCTTCTAATAACTAATCGTGCTAATTTCTTCTTAATAAGTCTTTCTTTTTTACTAAATAAAATAACTTTTCTTTCACTTCTTTTACTTGCACGAATAATTGAATTTCTTAATCTACGATTAATATTTTTAATACTTCTATCAACTCTTCTAATTCTTCTTGATAACACTTTAATTTTTCTTAATAAAACTTGTCTTTTACCTCTACTATTTTCTTGTCTTAATTTCTTTTCATTTAATGTCATAATTCTTCTCAACACAACTACTCTCTTTTCTAATATAGATTTTCTCGTGGTAATATGTTTTTTCTTTTCTTCATATTTCTTTCTACGTTCTTCAAAATATTGATGAATTCCATTTTGTGCATTTTGGTATTTGTCTTTTGTATCTTTAATTTCATTTATTATTTCAGTCATTCTCTTTTTTAAATCAGAAATCTTTTCTGGTGATTCTTCATTTAATAATACTTTTCTTTCAATTTTATTATATCTTTTCTTTAAGTTTTTAATTGTTGATCTTAATTTATCTCTTTCATCTTTCAGATCAATCATTCTTTGTCTAGTGATTCTACCTTCAATATTTCTTTTCTTAGCATTGTATGCAATAGTAGCTCTATTAATTTTTCTTTTAAGAGCTCTTAACATTAGAGTGTTTTGCCTAACTCTAATTTTTAATCCTTTTAGTTCAGAGTTAATTTGTTTCATACCATTTTTAGCTTCAGTTTTTTCAACACTACTTGTAGCTGAATTCTTTTTTCTTTTTAATATATTTTTCTTAATAGTAACTCTTCTTAAAATAGCTTTGTCTCTTTTAATTTGTCCTTTAACGTCTTTTACTTTTTCATTTAATACTTCTTTTACTTCTTTAAATTTACTTTTAGCTTCTTGTCTAATTGTCATAGCTTTAAGCATATCTTCCAATTGATTAACAGCAGTAATTTCTTTTCTTTGATACTGTTTAAATTTTCTTTTTAAACTACTATACTCTTGATCTAATATTCCTGAATTCTTTTTTGCTTTTAAAGTGTCTTTAATATTTTTAACTAAAAGATGTGTGTTTTTATATTGTTTAATAAGTTGATTAATTTCATTAATTTTATCTGTATTTCTTTTAATTCTTATACTCTTTATTTCATCACTTTTTCTTAATGCTTTTCTTTTTATTCTTAATAAACTACTAATTCTTTCAGCTGTTTTAACTAATCTTTGTTGATTATTTTGCATTTTCTTTAATATATTTTCTGTTTTAGTACATTTGTCTGTAATTTGTTTCATTTCTTCTTCAGCTAATTTCATTTGATTTATAGCTTTTTCTTTTTTAAATTTTTCATATTTTTGAATAGCAGCTTTTCTTTTTTTGTCTTGTACTTCCATTTTGTTAATTGATTTTTGCATATTTACTTTAATTTCTTCAATTCTTTTTTTAATTTTTTCTAATGATTTTGTTAATTTTTTTATTTTAAGATTCAATTCTTGTTTAATTTGTGGCTGTCTTTTATTGATTCTAACAATATGTTCTTTGAATCTTGGAATAACCTCTTCTTCAAGTCGTTTTTCTAAGGCTGTAGCATTTAATTTAATTCCATCTTCATCTTTAATCTCCTTACTTAGTGTGGTTAAGATGAGCAACGATAAAATAAAAGTTGTTCTTATCATCTTCGATAATATGATTATTTAGTGCTTTTAAACTTTTTTTCTAAAATCATCAATTTTTTTTTTTCAATTTACCTTTTTTTTATTTTTTATTTTATTTAGTTCGTTTTCATTTTTATTATATTTTTATTCTTCATTTCAATACGACAAGAAAGAAAATTATAAAGTACATTCTATAATTGTATTTTATACATAATGAATGTGTTTATTTTGCTTTCTTCAATACAACTACTTATGTTTTGATGAAATTGTTTCCCTTTTATTTATTCTTTTTTTCATAACAAACATTCAATCACATTAAGTTGATTTTATTACTTTTTAAATTAGGATGGATGAAATTTAATTTTTATTTACGTCAAAAATTATAATTAAAGAATGGTTGAGGTGGTTTTATATTCTTACATTATTTTTATTTTTGAATATTAAATTCTAATAAGTCTGGATTTAATTGTCAAAAATGACTCTTATATAAATAATTTTTAATATTCATTAGTTTAGTTATTAACTCTGATTATCCTTGAACATTAATCTAAAATAAATTGACTATTGTTATAAAAGAATAAGCAATATCCTTTTTTTAATATAGGAGAATAATTAATTAAATTTTAATTACTTTTTAATGTTAGTGAGAGTCATAACCCTGAATTTAGTTAGTTTAAAAAGATAAAAAATTGTTAGAACATTATTTATTTATGAATTGAATAAACTAATGTTTATGTAAAGATAAAAAGAAAGAAATAGTGATTAAATTGAAAGATTTGAATAAATAAAAGAAATAATATAATTTCTTTAACCATATGAAGAAAAAATAAAGTAAGAGGTAGAATAAAATATTTAAGCTATATGAATATGAAAAAAGAGGATGAAATGAAATTTGTGATTCAATTAATAAAAGTCCAAGTCTCATTCATCAAAATCAAACCAGTTTGAGTTTGAAAGAACATTAGCAAGATCTTTCACAATGTTTTTACATGTAGCACTTTCATAAATTTCACTTGGGATTTGCGGATTACTAGTTGGAAGAAGAACATCGAAATTATCAGAGTCACCAGGTAATTTCAAACTTAACAATACCAACCTACAGAAAACAAATCTTAAAATAAGCATTCTAGCAAATGGGTCAGCCATAAATAATTGAATAGTTTGAGGAACTTTTGGACATGTAAAGAATTCATTAGATAATTTTTCATAAAATATTTTCAATAGATTGGAACATTCTTCCTTTGTGTCTGGAGTCATTTGATCAACATCAGTCATTCTACAGAATGCACCTAATGAATCATTTAAGAATAAATTAAATATAGAATCTTTTTTATTACTAAATACTTGAAGATATTTTCCTTGAGTTTTAGTGAATATTGAGTCATGTGGAAGAGGACAAGTGTTTAACTTCCATGCACCTATTGGACCAAATAAACTTAAATGTGGAACATCAAAATGTTTTTGAGATAATTGGATGAAAGAATTTTGTTTGTCTGAATCAATAATTAATAACATTGGTTTTCTAAGGAATGGAAGAAGGTCTTCTGGATGAAGGATATGTTGTTGACTACCATAACTTGACATAAATAATCCATTAGTACTTGTATATCCTTGAATGGTATCATCATGAACAGTAGATGATAAATACAATAACATAAAAGTATTATTTGGCATATCACAAAAAGTACTGCCAATATAATTTAATGTTTTGGGATACTGACATTTCTTAATAAATGTTTTCTTGGATTTTTCCATTCATTTAATTGTTCTGGAGCCATAAGTTGATAATTAAATTCTAATGCATACATCATTCTTAATAAAGAAATAGATAATTCACTAAATGAATAACTATTAGGTTTATTATCTAATAAAATAGCTGAAAACATTTTAAGTCCATTTCTATTATTTGTTTTTGGTTTTGTATTAAAAACAAGTTGTGGATTAATACGTGATAAAGCAGAATAAGATACCCTTCCTTCTCTTGTAGGAACTAAGAAATTAACAATATTCATTACTATGTATTTCATTTCTTCAGCTAATAGTTGGTGATTTTGAAGGTTTGGATGAATTAATGTTTCTGTTGCTAATTGAGCTGATGTTAAAGCAAAATCACTTAATACATTTTCTCCCATTTTTAATTTATCAGTTAATAAACAAACTAATAAGAAACGTGCATGGAACCTTAAAGTTCTTTGAAGAACAAAAGATCGTTGAATACTTGAATCCTCTTTATAATAATTATGTCTTTTAATTTCTTGATAATATGTTAATGCCTCATTTAGAAATTGAGTTTCTGAAGTACGAAGATAATAATGATAATATAATTGAGCAATTTTAGCAGCAATTTCTCCTACATCATATCTCTTAAAATGTACTTTACCATTTTCTAAAATACTACGGCACGTTTGTTGTAATTTCCATAACTTAGCAAATGTTGTAAATGTTCTTTGATATAATGGTCTCCATCCTTCTCCTAAAAAGCTTGTTTCATATAGTTGACTGAAAAGTAAAGATGACTTTTCACAAAGTTTTAAATATTTGTCACAAATTCTATCATCTTGTTGACGGGGTGACTGGGAGGGTCGTTGATTAGGTAACATTGAACTAAATTTTTGTGTTTTTTTATTTAAAATTATTTTTTATTAGTTATTTTACTATTACTTTTAGTTTTTTGTTAAATAATATTCTTATTTAATTTTAATTAAATTAATTATAGTTTTTTCTTTAACGATCTCTGTTTCTATTTATATCACTATTTTTGAGTTTTCTAATTTTTTTTTTGTTTTTTAATTTTTTTTGTTTTTTAATTTTAGATTTTTTATTTTTTCAAAGGGAGTAAAAAATAAAAATAAATGACTTGTTTTAAACCCTAGTTAAGCGATTATTTATTGGAAAGTATTTTTAAAACCAAAAAAGAGTTATTAAATTTCGAATAGAATATAATTTTTTAAATTAAAAATACTTTTGAGACATAAGTTCAATAAAAATTCATGATTAGGGCTTTTTATTTCAAACTATTCTGAGTTTAGATGGTTTTTAAAAAACCAGAAGTTCTTTTTATGATTCAAGAATTTTACTTCAGAATATTTTTCAAATAAACTTTTGGTTATAAAAAGAAATCTTTAACAAAACAAATAAGAAAAATAAAGAAAAAATTAAGAAAATTCCATTAAATACAATTATAAATAAAAAAAATGAATTAACTCTCAAACACTAACTTAAAAAGGTCCATTTAATTAATGCAAAGGAAAAAGACTATGATTGCTTTTAATCAATTAAAACAAGATGGTCAAAAACAATCTTGTTCTACTTGTGATTCTAAAAAATTAAACAATAATAGTCTTTCTCTTTGTGCTGATCATGTTGTAAAGGATAGTTCTTTTTCAGCTTATTCAACAAATCATACTCCTCGTTTTATGTTAAACCAAAAAAATAATCGTTTAATTGAATCGAGAAAATGGAGGTCTACAAATGCATTACCAAGTCCTCTTAGACACTGTTCTCCAGTCCCTGATGACGAAGCTATTTATCGTATTTTACCTCCACCTTCTGTATCTCCTGGAACTGCTTATGCAGATAATGAAATTGCTTCTATTCTTTCTCAATCAATACCATCAGATTCAACAAGTCCTTTATACCCCCGTACTGGTAAATCAGTTGATATTCATTATAGTCCAATTCCTATGAGAGCTTTTGATTTTAATGAAGATGACAATGAATATTGTTCACGTTGTTCTAACCCTGGTATATTTCAATAAAACAAAAGACAACTCAAGTCATTTCAATACTTATTATCTATTTTGTACATCTATTGCATTGGCTATTATATTTAAGTTAAATTAAAAAAAAAAGAATATTTTAAAATGGTTTTTCTTTTAAATGAAATTATTAAAAAATAATTTAAATAATTTGGTATTAAAAAATAAAAAGAATTGAATTAAGACTTTCTGTTTATTTCTTTCTGCAGAATTTTGGTTTTGGACGAGCAAACATTTTCTTTTCTTGTACTGGTGGTGGATGGATTTTGTCTTGAATTTCATTAACACTTAAATCTTTTGGTGAATTGATTTCTAGTTTTAAATCAACTTCTTTTCCATTACCAGTTAGTACTGATTCAACAGCACCTTTAGAAGTAGAATATAACATTCTTTGTTTAACAGGTGCACTTTTTGTATTTCCACTTCCATCTGGACAGAGA